CTCGTCACATAGCGATCAAGATCGCACGAAAATACAGTATAACATTCGATTCGCCATTATTAGACGAATCGAATGATGGTATTTTTATGTGATTCTGATCACTACGTGACAAGAGATCGCACTTAAAATTCGCCGTATGCCAAAATTAACAATATGGTACGGTGACAATTGCGGAATCACATGACATTTTTGAATCGTCTAGTAATGACGAATTAAAAGGTGGTATTTTCATGTGATTTTTACCAGAAATCACATTTTTGATGTTCGTCAAGACACCAACCTCTCTTCCAAAATTGCCATTTTTCATTATTAGGTACGCTACTTTTTTTATACTAGATTACACCGAATTGAACATGTTTTTAACTGTAATAAATATTAAAAAATATTTGTTCTGTAAAAAAATAACAATTTTAACTTCGTCAAGATACACCTCTCTCATTTATTGAATTCAGATTGTACACTTGAAATCTTATTGATATCAACGTCTGTTATTTTTTGAGTTAACTGATAAAATTTTGACATAATATTGTAATGTAACTTTTTCTTGCGATATTCTGAATTTTAGTAAATATTGAAAATTGACATTGAACAAACGAATATTTAAATTAAATAGCTAAGCTAAATAAGCATTCGTTATTTGCATCAGCATTAAAGTTGTATATTACTGCAATTGCTGAATTAATTTCAGTGTAATAAATACCAAAATGTTCAATCACAGGCCGACGAATATCGGCGTTCCAAAAAGTCTTGAAATTATGGCCATGTTTTTCAGCTAAATAAATGTAGATCACCATGATTTTCAGTGTAATTCTACAGCCCGATCAATCGCATAATTTTTCAGCATATTTTGAGCGCAATCCTATCTTTAGTTAATATCTTGCTGTTTATTATTTATTGTATTATCCCGTTCAATTATATAATGTTAAATAGATTTACAGTAAAATAGTAATTCCTTAATTAATAGAAAAAGAATCTATATAAAGAATGACTCTTGGCCTTCAATTAAAAATAGAAACAACTTGCTTACAATTTTTTTCCGATTAATAAAATACTTGAAATTCTTCGTAAAGGCATTGTAATTCTAACTGTAATCATATTGGTTAGGTTCTTTGTTCCAGAAAAGACATTGTATTAGTTAGGTCCTTTGACCCAGGAAAAGCAAACGCATCATTGAAATTGAATGACTGGTTGATTTGAATGATAAGATTTCAAGGTTTTTAGCTAAAAAAAAAGCACCGGTTAGAATTAGAATAGAATAGTTAACAAGCATAATTCCCTTACCCCCCCCCCCCCCCTCCCCAAAATATCTTATCTTAATACGAAACTCTTATTTCTCCAATTCACATACTCCAAACAATCCTGAAACTCTCCAAATTTCCACGCCCAAATCCCTCTATTTTTTTCCTTGAGCCGCATACAAAGAACGATATTCGTAAATATTGGCAGATTTAACAAGCATAGTTTGTCTAATCACACCCTCACAACCCTAGTCACAGAAAAAATTCACTTATCCGAAAATAAGAATTGTCATCAAAAAATTGACTGAATAAAAAATGACACCTGACTTGCTATTGACTTCACACTCAAATAAATTCGATGAATTTTATAAAAATGCTAATTATGATATTTCAATTATTTTTGGTGAGAATCAAAGTCCTCTACGTACCAGTCGCATTATTTTGCAGTAGCACTTGCTGACGCTTGGGTGAGGCGCGACCAAATAAAATGATTATTTTTAAGAAACCGAATATAGAACCACGAGTATTTGAATTATTATTAAGGTGATTTCATACAAAAATTGAAACAACACCAATAAATTTAATAGATATATTTATCGTTGTAAAAATCGATTTACAAGATCATGGTGTTTCGCCACTTTTAGACTTATTAATTACGGCCAATGAAAATATATCGTTATGTTCAGATGCGATTTAATTAATAGAACTCTTTGCCAAAGATTCAGAATGGTGTTCAAGAAGATATATTCAATTAGATCCTAAGAACATTACAAAACGTGAATTCAATAAAAACAGGAAAACATCCAATGTAAGTACTCTTATGATGTGCATGAAATAAATAATCATAGTATTGCACAAGAAACTACTGCACGTGACTTAAGAAATAACTTGCTATAAATTAAAGCTTCTCGTGAGCTGAGTTGAAAGATTCGATTTGTTTTGTTCAGTCGCAAAAAGTTGAACTAAATTCAGAAAAATATGGGAACTTAGTCGGGTGAGTATTTTAACAGCTCTACGGTATTACCATATTTTATACTGAATGTTTTTAATAGCAAAATAAAATTCTACTTTCATTTATATTAAACACAAGTTTCTATACAACAAATGACATTTCTTTTTTGGCTTTTTGTAAAAGAAAACCTTTTATTATTTAGATCTACATTGATTTTTTATACAATGATTATCGGATTGATACACAACATTACGACATTAAAATGGAAATTTCGCATATACAGTACATGTACATGTACATGTAAAACGAACATGACTATTAATTATACATGTACAACTATATGTACATGTACATTTCATACTCTCTAATGTGACAAATTAAAATTTTTATTAGCTTTAGAGCTTTCGCTCTTTTCTCCTAATAAGAGCAATGCTTAACAAGTCTGGATTGTATTTTTGTGAGACACTCGATATCTCTTCATACCCCTTGATTCCATGTGGCATACAAAGATTGAAATCTGCAACTGTTTTGGAAAAGATAAGAAAATAATATTCACCTTCATTTGATAAAAAATTTTTACATTTATTGGGAGCACGTATGCAACCTCAATCTCCCAATAAACTTTATATTAGAAACTTAAGTGAAAAAATTCTGTAAGGAAGTTTTCTATTGGAACAAACTGTACTGTATTGTTTTATCTTTGTTTATCTTTGTAAGTATAGTCCACTGCACTACATTATCGCCCTTCTAGTACAAGAGTCATACAGCAAATGTTTATCCTGTTTTTTACATTGTCCTGAGCTCACGCAGACTCGGACGACATTGCCAGAAATATCCAATTGATCTTGAAATGATCGAGAACTAATGAAATTGCAAAAGCCCCTTAATCTAATGGAAGCTAATGCGTTTTCTACCTCTAATAGGAATAGAAAGACGTATTTATTATTCAAAGCAGAGTTTTTTGAGTAAAGTGATACATACATATGTAAATATTTCTTTTTTATTTATAGAATATATATCTTTATTTGAAATTTTATTCCATTGGTTGTTACCATTTATTTATTTGCTTGTCTATAATTTATAAATCGATATAGAAGAAACATCTATTTCATCCATAAATAATATTAATAATATGACAACGTTCATTAACGTAAACTTTATAATTTATTCACACTTTTCCAATAATAAAATTTAGACACATTTATGAGAGTATTTCCAATCATACAATATCAATAAAATCAATGGATGAATTTGCTTATTTATTGCCTTTTTCCATTTCTTTATAGTCCCCTTCATTTCCTTGATGAAGAATTGGATACTATACAAACATTCAAGTTTCTTTTTTTATTTTACCTTAGAAGGCTAATTTCTGATATTGATAAAGCAAAATAAAAACTCATTTTTCTAGTTTCTTAAATCTTGCGACGTTGCTAAATGTTAAATTTAGTCTAATGAGAAAATATAGACTCAAATACACACGAGAAATAGTTTTCAAGCAGAGTATTTTGATATTCTACCTTATAATGGGAGTAAAGGATTAATTTTGGACATATACTCATTTATATTATTACATGTGATATATTAACAAATTCAAAAACTTTATATAATTTTGGAGGATCAAAAATTCATCATACAGCTTATGTCCACCTTATTGTTCATGTAATAATGCTTGAGTTGCTTGGCTGTATAAATTATTTATGCATTTATTTCTTGGAATAAAAATTGAAACCACCGGTTTTTAATGTCAGATACGCAGTTATAATTCAGATTGACTGTGCCAGAGCAAAGAAAAGTAGAAATCTATTGCCACATGCGCCACTGCGCCACTTAACTTGTCCGAATTCCGATTTGGTTACATGTAATAACAATGAAATGATTGGCTGTATCAAAAGATCGACAACTTGCGGTGTGTGTTCGAAAATGTGGCAATCTTGCTTGTTCACTAAAAATGTTGCTAAAACGCGCATAATGATACGATTTAATAAAACACGTATATAGTTACTGTGAAAGCTCTAGTTCAAACAGCCATTCCGCGGTCCAATTTTCATCATAGACTATGGAGAAAGATAAATCATTCCACTTTTTAATTGACACGTTTTCGTATTACAAGACGAAAAATTTGTCGACCATCTACCGATTGATAAATTTCTTAAAACTGATTGTTTTGTTAATAACTTAACGCAGAATTCACGCGATCACGCAGAATTTATTCATACATACATACATTCATTCATTCATTCATCGTTCTACTATTTACGATCACTAAGAATAATTTATTTCGCCTCAAACAGGGAACAACAAGATAAACAACGAATAGAACCAATTATGATGGAATTGTTCCAAAGTATTTTACTAAAAGAAGCAAACGCGTTAAATTTTGTAATATTATCGTAATACATGCTTATCTAAACCAGTACTTAGAAGAAACATATAAAAAGATTATATCAGAATGCTAGCTATTTTTGTAAGTTTCAAGTCTCAGCTGAAGTATTATATAGATTATATAATAATTTACATGAAAATTTATATTAGAAGATATAATATAAAATAGAATATTAAGCGTTATTAAATTAATTTTGACCGATTTCATTTTATAGGCAACGCTTTGTTAAGCGCTCACCTATTTTATTTACTGCTCTTTAAAAACAACAACAAAACCATTTAGATAATAAAAATAACTCCCAAACGTCCTTAAAAGAGCAAAAAAAATAACAAAAATATCGAAGACAACAAAAATATATCATTCCTTTATCTTCATCATCCTATTTTCTCTCACTTTTGAATAATCAAATCTAACAAGTACAGAACAAATGCTCCCAACGACACAAGAAACTCCAGTGCCATCTCTCGAACCTTCTTCTCCTATGATTACAAATAAGATAAAAAGAAAATTGGATTTTTCTTTACCTTCGCCGCCGACAATTTCCCCACGTGAATTGGTCGCAAAACTTATTGAACGTGGCGATAAGAATATTAGAATGCCTAATGAGTTTTTCATTTACCGTGCTGCAATAGTAAAAGAATTAAAAGTACGTGGTGAGAGGATTAAAATGACAGAAGTATCAGCAATGGCTTCTGATGCATGGAAACTAGCAAATAGAAAAGAAAAGAATCAATATCGAAAACTTGCACGTGAAACTGAACGCCTATATTTTCAAACTCGTAGCATAAAACAAAAACAGCAAGAACAAGAACAAAAAAACTTTGAAGAAAAAATTAATAATCCATCAAAGAAGAACCAAAACATGCAACTTGCCGTTTCTCCATCAGTTCCTTCATCATGTACTCAGCATCAGAATCAGATACCAACTACTTCTGTAAATGAACTCATGAGTATTCAAACTCCGAATTTTGTTCCTTCTTTCCCCCTTCTATCGTATAATTCTTTACCTGAACATTATGAATCACAATTCCCTTCGTGTTTCAGTCAATTTTTATCCTCTGATTTCGAGCTTAATTTTCAAGAAAACAGCTCTTTGACAGATTCAAACACGCCAAATGAGCCATTAGCTGAAATACAAAGAAGATGGAACGAACCAATTGTTCAATATTCTAATTTTATAACAACTTTACCTACGCGATCTCAAGACACAGTGGATGTATACACACATACGTTTGCCGAATTTAATCAAAATCAACTGCAACTACAACCATCTTTTGAATTTGATACGACAGCTAATGAAGCTTTGGATCCTAATGTTAATTCCAATGATTCTTTTGTTAATTTCGAAAAGTATTGCCTTAAATTTATGTATTAAATATGCAGTACACGTATTTGCTTCTTTTTTTAAATTTAACTTGTTTAACTATAATTAATGGACCTTTACCTTTATGAAAAACTAAAAATATGCACGAAATTTAATAGCACTGAGAACCAATAATTATGCAAAAATTTAAACTAATGTCTTTTATTATATGAATAAGACTTCAACTCAAGGTTAATGAATAATAAGATATATAAAGATAACGAACTCAAGAATCATGACTAATGAGATATAAAAAGATAACGATAATCATTATATCCAAAAAATGCAGATGTACTGTACTAACACACGGAGTTTTGAATTCCGATTAAAAATAAATTATCGCTGCGTAGAGTAATCTTTATATGATCAATAAAACTCTAAGCTTTTTGGTTCTATTTTTAATAAAAGCTCAGTTGCTTTAATTAAATTAAATGTATTTTAAAAATTTAATTCTAATTAAAGACGATATACACGATTTGAAACAAAATATTTTGTTTAATTCATTTATATGGGTTGGTGCAAAAAGATTTGTACCTCAGATAAATATTAATAAATTATTTTTTCAAAATAAAATTTTAA